CTGGGAGTGTCACAGGGCTTGTTCCCTGAGTGGACACAGAGCCTCAGGGAAGTCCTAAGCACAGCAGAGCTGTGACGCTTGGGCTACCGTGCTGGGGACAGAATACAGAGCAAGTGTGGCTGAAGTGGCCAGGAGGTGGATGGAGGGATCCAGGAGGTGGATGGAGGGATCCAGGAGGTGGATGGAGGGATCCAGAGGAGGGAGGATGCACTGTGAGGCTCCCAGGGCCACACGGGGAGCTCTCCAGCAGATGGAATGGAGAGAGAGAGGACGAGGTGGTAAGACAGCACCCAGGCTTCTGGCCCGTTCAACCGGAAGGAAGGGGCTGGTGGAGAATAGGGGGGTGGAATAGGAGTGGGGGCGAGGGAATTGGGAACTCAGCTTTGGGCATGGGGTTTGAAGATGCCTGTTTGGTGTGTTGAGTAGGAAGCTGGGTGTTTGAGACTGCAGTTTGTGAAAGTAGGAGTCACCAGCACAGAGATGGCATTTAAAAACAGGGACACGCTCAATTTGCCGGCTATAGTCACAAAAGGCACCGTAGGCTTCTGATGTCATTGCTATTATTATCTTCATCTTGCAGATGTAGAAACGAAGGCTCAAAGGGAGAAAAGCCACCACCCATTGATGGTAGACCAAAGCCCCAGCCTGGTACCCAGCTCCCCAGCAGCTCCTAACTCCACTGCTGCGGGGAACTCTGGCTGCGCCTCTTCCGGGGTATTGTGCTCAAGAGTAGACAGGTTTGGAGACATCCTCCCAGACTGAGAGGACAGCCCCAGCCACACAGGGCTGAAAGGAGGGACCCTGTGGTTACTTTTTGAGAGAGGGTAGCGTCTCACTCTGTAGCCTAAGCTAGCCCCAAGCTTTCAGTCCTCCTTCCCCAGCCTCCCGGATTCCGGGATTATAGGCATGCATCACCACACCAGTTCCACTGATGGTCCTTAGCGAGACATCCCATGGTCAAAGTGGGCTTGTGCAAAAGTCACCGGGGGCAGGTACGCAGGCTAGGCGGCAGTAGAAGAAACTTCCCAGGAGGAAGTGGGCCCTGTGGGCTGCATTTTGTGCATTGTGTGGGAGGTAGGGAAGAGAGTGAGGTGGTGGATTGAGGAGGAGGTGAGGAGGATGAGCAGAGACTCTGTCTGCTGAGGTGTGGGGGCTGGAGGCCAGGAATGAATGAGTCAAGGGCGAGGCTTCAGACTGAGAGATGACGGCAGGGAGGGGAGAATGATGCTGGTCTGAGCGGAAAAGGGGAAGCTGGTCCTGAGGCTGAGTGAATCCGGAGAGGATGATGCTCTACCTTCCAGGAGCATATCTGTTATTGGGACACACTTCACAGAGCTGGCCGACTGCAAGGCAAAGGGTTCAGGGAATTCAGACAGGCAGGTGAATGAGCCAGAAGAGGCAGGGACCCGGTGGTCAGTGTCTGGAGCTGTGGGTGTGCGTCCAGAGGACAGAAGCTTGGAGAAGGTGACATAAGGAGGGGCAGTGGGGGTGCTTGGGGTGAAAGCAAAGTCTAGAACAGGCCTGGGCATGCACCAGCCACTTGCTGTCCCTGTGCCCTGGGGTAAGTTTCTAAATCTCTCTGAAAAATGCAGAGAATCCCGAGGTTGTCCTGAGGACTGTTTAACCACAAGCTATCATTGCTGAGTGCCTACTGGTCCATCGTGGGAACACAGGGATGCTCTGGAGGAAGGAAACCCCGGGAAGCCCAGGGGAAGAATCCTGCCCAACATCCCAGAGGGATGAAGTATCAGGAAAGGGGTGGGCGCTCAGTGGGAGCTGGAACAAGAAACTTTGCACACACTCGGCTCAGCTCATTCACCTATAGCACCGAGATGGCGTGTCCAGCATCATGCCTTGCGCAGACAGAAAGGCAAGGGTCACAAAAATATCCTTGGCTATACCAGTGTGGACAGACGGAAGAGAGACCGGACCCAGGAACGGTGATGCTGTTCTCAGGGTGTCTGCTGGGTGGCCACACTTCCTTGGAGGAGTAGCCTTGGAGGATTCAGAGGCCCACATAGAGAAGCTTCCTTCCAAGGAGCCATCACTTCATAGCTGGGTGGAGAGGAAGTGTTAGCGGGAAGGGGACCCCACGAAGGAGAAGGTGGTGCTGACCGTGAAAGGAGAAGTAAAAAGACATCAAGAAGGGCGTGGGTCAAGCAGAGTTCTTTACGGAGAAGAGGGACGGGTGGAGAGGGCTCCTGGGACCCTACCATGGGTGGCGTGTGTAGATCCTCATGGATGGTAGCTGTTGCTATTATTATCAGTCACTATTGCGACCATTGTTTATCTCCCCTCACCTGCTCCGGGCAGGTTTTTCTGGCAGAAATTGAGTCAACGCTAAAGATGTGGAAGAGAAAGGAGGCCCCTCTGGGATGAAGGAAGGTTGTGTGGTCCCAGCTACCATAAAAGCAGTTCAGCTTGTCAGGCATGGCCACAACCCGCAGGAAGGAAGCTGTGAACTAGATGAAGGGTCATGTCTACACCTTAACTACCCTGAATTAAGAGGCATTTAGCAGCCGGGCGGTGGTGGCGCACGCCTTTAATCCCAGCACTCGGGAGGGAGAGGCAGGCGCATCTCTGTGAGTCCAGGTGGACCGACAGCCTCCAAAACAATACAGAGAAACCCTGTCTCATAAAAAACAAAACAAAAAAGGCATTTAGCCCAATTCTCTGCCTCATTCAAGGCAGAGAGACTCCAGAGGCTCAGGAGGAGTAGGAAACACCGAGGCAGTGAGTGAGTTAAACCCCACAGGGTGACCCACACCGAGGATCCCATACTTGGGAAGCTGGGGCAGGAGAATTGCAATTTCAAGACCAGCAGGACTACATTAGTGAAACTCTGCCTATTTTAATAATAATAACAATAAAATGTGTTAAATTGGGTGTGGTGCTGCATCCCTCTAATCCTAGTATTCAGGAAGCTAAGGCTGGATAGAGGGTTATGAATTCAAGACAGCCTGCACAACACAGGACATCAGATATTAAAGCAAAACAAACAAATTATTGTTCTGAAGCGAAGGCCCTGAGCATGAATTCGCCTGCAGTTCAGAAACTGGTAAGTGGTCATGCGTGTGTACATGCATCTATGTGCATGCTCATCTCTCGGTCCATCCGCGCACCCATTCATCCGCAAATCCCCCCATCCGGTCGCTGTCCCGTCTGTCGTCCGTTCAGCCGTCTGTCCAACCGCACACCTCTCCCATTCATTAGCAGATGCACTTCACTGAGTACCTGCTAGGTCCTCTAGGTGCCAAGGCGTCCTTGTTTTTTGTTTGTTTTGTTTGTGGATTCTACCATCTTTTGAGTGTAAGACAGGATAAAGTACCATGTGAAGACGGGCATGATAGGAGATTGTTGACCTTTGAGCACACAGTGGGTTGTGGGTCAAAAGCACAAGAGGAAGTCCCAGGTAAGATCTGAGGAAAACCGGAGTGGAAGGAAGGGGGGGGTGGGGGAAGGCGAATGCTTTGGACACGAGGAACAGCCTTGGGTGTCAGTGCACTAAGCTGAGCAACTGGGCTGTAGGAAGGGCTGAGGCCAGGGAAGTAAAGATGGAGGTGACTGCATGAGCGCCGTGGGGATGTGGGGTCAGCCTTCCTCAGATGATGCTGGGGAAAGATTCTTGGGTGTCAGAGTTGAGGATTTACTGGACAAGGCCTGGAGTGACACTTCTGCCCTAAACCATTGAAGACAGTGAAGAGCTTCTGGCCCAGCTACCTGCTCTGCAACCTAGGACTTCCTAATTTTAACTCCAACCTTAGAAACAGGCTTTCTCCAAGCCTAGGAAGCATCTGAGACAGAAACAGGGACATTTCCTATCTTTCAGGGTAAAAGACCCAGAATTCCACCAGTCCAGCTCCTTCTGGCCCAAATAGGGAGGGGGGTTCCCAATGCCTCTAGCAGCTAGAGTCTAGCTGGTTTTGCTCCAAGGACTCTCTTGAGGCAGGACCTCAGAGGTGGAGGCAGGAGAGGGAGCCAGAGCACACGTCCTGATTCTAGCTGCCTTGAGGTGGAGGGGTCTGAATTTGGCAAGCAAGGGCATCCTGTTTGGAAGGTCCCCAGGGAATTCACTTCATTGCGGGGACAATGGGGCAGGCATGGTGTGCTAATCCCTGGTGAGGAAAGCCCCCTCACAATTGTCTGTTCATGCAGCTTCCCAGGCAATGTCGAACTGTAGCCTGGCCCTGTATTTACCTCTTCTTCCTTAAGGAGTGTCACGCTGTGCATTTCTGACCTAGTGGCTGGGCTGCTCCCCCCACCCAGGTCCATCCTAGTCTCCCCAGCTCATCTCTGCACGTGCTCTCCTCTGTTCCTCTGCCTGTTCTATGCCCTGGGTATGAATGTCCCTTCCAGTCCCTAGGAATTCTACCTGCCAAGACCTGAGAATCGCCCCTCCTCCAAGTGCGGATCTCACCTGCAGCCCCTCCCACTTCCTGGGGAACCTCCCCTAGAGCGGGGAAATGGGCTGCCGGGCCCTGAGGGCACACCCAGGCGACTGCTCTGCCCACCTCTTGTCCCGAGGTGACAGTTCAGAGCCTTCAGTTCCTGCTGCTATGGCTGCTTCCCTAGAAGGACAGGGAATTTGGGTCTTTCTGGAGAAACGGTCTGAGTATACAGTAGAGCGGAGGCCTTGAAACCCACAGGGGCGGGGAGTTTCCGAAGCGGTGCTCGGGCTACGTCCCCGGTAACAGAACTGCTGATTGCGGCAGAATCCTCCCTTCTTGTGCCCTAGCACGGAGCTGCCTCTGCAGCAACAGGCCGGGCAGGAGCCACCGGGAAGGGTGCAGGGGGCCTGGAAGGGGTGTTCAGTGTGGCTTGGAGAGACCCAAAAGGGGAAGATGAGCAGAGAGCTCTCTCCCACCTCCTCCTCAAGCAGGCTCCTGTCTCCAGGTTACAGCCTCCTGACCCCTAGTTCTCTTAACTGAGACCCCGCTAGGTGCGGACACTCCTCTCTGTCGTCACAAGGGCGTGCACCCTCCCCTGCCACTCTCTCTGAAACACAGGAAGCCTGGCCTGGGGAGCAAGGGCCCAGCCAGACAAGCTAAAGGCAAAACCCCCACTCAGCTATCGCCGCAGCTGGGGGACTCCAAGGCAAGCAGAGATCTGCCAGGACGAGTCGTGCCAGAGGAAGTAGGCTCTATCTTAAGTAGGCTCCTAGAAACGGTGTGTAGTTCCCTCTACCGAGAATGAAATCGAGGCCCAGGGGGCATTCATGAGGTGCCCCCAGGTCACACAGTGAAGCAGTGGGGAGGACCCTATCCATAGGGAAGCTTGGCCAAAGCAGGGGAATGCCCAGGGCTCAGACCTGAAGCAACACAGCCTCCTGCTATGAGGAAAGAGCGCCTAGACTTTCTCCTCTTGACATCAGGAGTGTTAGTGCACACCGTTCGGAGGAATCTGGTCTCAACAGACAGTGGCTGCCGTTCCCACCATCGCTTCTAATGCAAATGCAAAGGCAGTGCAGTGATTCATACGAGGCCAGGCCTGACAGCATGAGAGGGGGTGAGGGGGCATGGGTGTTATTGCAAACGCCCTCTGGTCACTTGCAGGCCTGACAGCATGAGAGGGGGTGAGGGGGCATGGGTGTTATTGCAAACGCCCTCTGGTCACCTGCAGACCCAAAACTCAGGCCAGAATCAAAGCGGAGGCAGCTGCAGGCCTCCGCCACCCTGCCCTGCCAGAAGAGGATGGGAGGCTTCGGCCTAGGAAGGCCTTAGCCTGGGAGACTGACCAGATTCAGTGATGCTGTGGCCTTGGAGCAGGAGAGAAAGAAAATGAAGGAGACATGGGAAAGGAAAGGGGCCCCCTCCCTGGTTCATTTATTACCGGCTGAGAGCCAAGCATTGCAACGTAAATTGTGGGAGGAGCTGGGTCGTGGCTTAGTTAGTAGAGTGCCTACTACAGTGTCCTACATGCAAAACACTGAACACATGAAAATAAGTAAGATTTGGGGCTGGAGAGATGGCTCAGAGGTTAAGAGCACTGACTGCTCTTCCAGAGGTCCTAGGTTCGATTCCCAGCAACCACGTGGCAGCTCACAACTGTCTGTAAGTCACGTTCCTGTCACCCTTATACAGGCATACACACGCAGGCAAAACAGCAATGCACATAAAAAAATAAAATGAATAAATGTTTAAAAATTAAAAAATAAGTAAAACTTAAAGATTAAAAGCTAACACCCAAACCAGCCATGGTGGCTCACATCTTATCTGTGGGATTGTGGGATACCCAGGTTACACAGCATTGTGGGATACCCTAGGTTACACAGCATTGTGAGACATTGTAGGTTACACATCGAAGCAGTGCATTCCCTTTTCTTTTATTCTGTGATAGGTTCTTGCTAATGCCCATGAACTCTGGTAGCCCATGCTGACCTCAAAATTGAAACCTCCCTGTATCAACCTCAGAAGTAGCAGGGGTACCAGGCCTAAGCCACAAGGTCTGATTATTATTTTCAATAAACCCTGACTTTGCTTCATAGTGACTGGTTGTCCTGAAACTCTTTCCTGAGCACTCATGTGACAGCCTCAAGCTATGCTAAAAGTCCCACATAACTTTCTAAAAAGTGTGTTTGGAACCTGAGAATACTGGTCACCGCTCCAGGACAGCCTCTGGCGTGGGGCTCCTGTACAGGTGAACATTGTCGTCTCTCCATTTCACTCACAGCAGAGGCAAGGTGCCCCGTTAGGGAGCTGGGCTCTCCAGTCCACCGAAGCACACATGAGGCTCCACAGCGATTAAAGCCCCACTCAGGGTTTAGTCTCCTGGGTCAGGGCCAGCAAGGACGGGAGGACACGGTCCTCTCAGCCTCACCGGAGCCTCTGGCTTCCTCGGGACAGGATGCAGTCAGATCTCATCTACAGATCAGCAGTGTAACTGCTCACTCTCTGTAGGCCTTCTGGACTTCACAGCCCTGACTGGCATAGTCCCTGAGAGCTCTGTTTGACCCTCCATCCTGCCTCCAGGGCACCAGACATGAAGGAAGGTCACCAGCACTAGGGCAATGAGTTAACAGAGGAACCAAGAAATGTTCCCTTTGAAAAGAGAGAAGTATGTCTTGTGGCCCCAGACACAGACTCCCACCTCTGTCCTGAGCAGAGAACCCATTCTCTGGAAAGCCACAAACATTCCCAAGCTGGACTTCTACTGAATTATCTCAAATTCTTTGAATTTCTCTATTCTGGAAGGACTGAAGGAGGGGACAGGAGGCGGGGAGTGACCTCCAAGAGTTTAAATAGGTCACCTCAACGCTGGCCACCAAGACAAGCAGAGGGACCCATGAAAATCTTCACCTGCGTTCCTGGCACCATGATGTCACTTAGGATGCTGCTCCTGGCCGTCCTGCTTCTGGGGACTTTCCTGCAGCGCGCCAGCACTGGTGAGAGCTGGGCACAGATAGGAGAGGGCAGGGAAGGAACCGCCTCTGACCACAGCAGAAACACGAGCTGTGCAATTTATATCCTGTCTGTTCTTACAAAGGTCACAAGGGCTGGCAGCATGGGCGAGCGGGGGGGGGTAATGGTGTTGATGGTGTTAGGCACCTGACCTGGACTCCCTCCTGGTGAAGAGCCACGGGCAGCGCATCTTATCCTGAGATGTTAGGACACAGTGGCCTTGACGGTGGGCTTGTGATGCAGAATGAACGATTCTCAGAATTGCTATCATTAGTTTCACTAGTGGGCTTCACGTATCATCAGGGAACAACATAAAGACAGAGTATTGGTTCCAAGAATGTTTGAAAAGAGATTTTTATGTTTAGTTTAGAAAGGGAAGTTGAAATAAGGTTCCTAGACACAGACAGCTGTGCACGCAATCGCACACAGATGAATGTGCGAACATGCAAACACACAGAGCCAAAACATGCGTAGACACCACCCCCCATGGTAACACACGCACAAACACACCAGGAAAAAACAGAATATAGACACAGAGAGGCGTGCGCAGTTATCATCCATAGGTTCACACAGGCACATATGGGGACAGTCCGTGGGTCCTCAGGCACGTGAGCAGACCCTTAGGACACCTGCTTCCTATAGCTCGAGCTACCAACGTAGGCCGCGAGTGCTGCCTGGAGATCTTCAAGGGGGCCATTCCCATCAGGAAGCTGGTGATGTGGTACAGGACCTCAGCTGAGTGTCCCAGGGATGCCATCGTGTGAGTCCCCCTCTTAGACCTCTGACCCCGAGTGGTAAGTGGGTGGGTCTTGGAGTGTCCAGGAAGGCCATTGGGAAAGAGGGAAGGAGAACTGAGCCTTCTTCCCCTGGGCCAGCAGCTTTGGGCACTCAGGGGAGCTCTTACACCCCACTCGGTTGAGAGGGGTTCAGTCTCTTCACTTATTTGTGGTGAGATTGAGGCCCCAAGACGGATAGACATCCCAGGTAATGGAGTCAGCAGTCACCTTCCGCTCTGGGTCTGAGCTGGATAGAGGACAGCACATAGCCTAAGTCTCTTTGTGTCACTTCTACTTGTCGGGCTCAGGCGGGGGTTGAGGGGGGGGCAGGCATGAAGTCCTGGGATGGGGTCAGGACCCCAGTAGGAAAGAATTGCTAATGGCATATGTGACATCATCCGGTTCTTGCCCAGGGACCTCTGGTTGCAGAGCTCTAGAAGGCCTTGTCGTTTTCACACTCACTGGCTTCTCCCGTGTAGGTTTGTGACTGTCCAGGGCAGGTCCATCTGTTCAGACCCCAACGACAAGCATGTGAAGAAGGCCATCAGACACCTCCAAAGGGTACGGCCTTAGCCTGTGACCGTCCCCCGGGAGCATTGGGAGACTGCAGCATCGGTGTCCACGACCTCCACCCAAAGCTGCCTGCACCCAGCAGAGGCCTTAAGAGCCCAAGAGAAGCCACAGAGTGGGAGTCCCTGTCCCCCTTTATGGACTCAAGCTATAGGCAAAAAAAAACCCCAACTCTGATTAAAGTCCTCCTCCTGTAGTCTGGGTCGGTGTGTTCTGTCCCCGCATTGCAGAACCCCTTCCATTTTGGCCACACTGGAAGGGTCCCCATAGGACAGCTGGTCCTGCTCTGCCCAGGTCAGAAGGGTTAACTGAGCCTCAGGGAGAGATGGGGTCCCGTACAAGCGAGAGGTGGGACTGCGGAGGCATGGGGCAGGGGCATGGCAGAAGTGGAGTGGACCCAGCAGGACCCTCGCAAGTGTCCCTCCTCCCTCTGTATTCCGTGGAAAGTGTCCAAAGGAGTCCCAAGGAGGGTCCATCTTCTCTGCACCCGAGGTCTCCCAGTCACCCCAAGACTAGCCCTGTTATTGCCCCACGCGAAACTGAAGCTATCCTTCCTGTACTGGACGCGGTTGCAAACACAATTGTATCCTTCGACGTGTGTTTGTCTTCCTGCAGCCCCTGTCCCTTCTCCATTTCTGAGTCCCCTCCCCCGCAGCCTGTCTGGCTCTGGGAAATTGTCAGCTATGCCCTTCCACGCCTTGGCTTCCTCTCTACCTGGAACTTAGCTGAGCTGGCTTCGTGGGGCCCTGGGTCCTCTGTGGATCTTCAGCAGCCCCGTCGCCTAAGCCCCGCCCCCGGCCCACTTCATCTTCTTTGCCCCCAGGTCCAGCTGGCCCCTGCTCTCTCTTGAGTTCCCTCTGTACATGTGGGGCATTGCTCTGATGCCAGCCTCACGGTCCCTGGGATTTCCTCTCAAGCTCTTAGGGACTCTCTTGCCATGGCCTCTGCTGCTGGGGTTCTCCAAACTGCGCCAGTGTGTGTTTGTAGACCTGGCTCAGCCATTCCACTGGAGGCTCTATGAGCTCTCTCAGACCACCCTGAGCGACTGAAGAGTTAGCATAGGAGTCTATGAGACCCCTCTGTCCATGTCTAGCTCAAGCTGGAGAGTTAGGATCTTGGTTTTCCGGCCATCTTTGCCTACCCAGCATGCCTTTCTTTCCGGGTCAGATTGTAGCCCAAGCAATGGTCTTCTCTGCCTGGCTGTCTGAGCAGCAATAGTGAGCCACCTGGGAAAAGATTTTTTTAGCCTGTTGCTGCCGCCCTGTGGACAGTTTTGGCCTTGCAGAAAAAAAGCCAAGTGTTCTAGAAGGGGTGGGAATAAGACCAGCACATGATCAATCAGGAGGCTGGTGGCCATGGAATGGCTTCTCTGCGAACCCAACCTTCCTTCCACCGCAGTGGGCTTCTCTTCCTTAAGGACCAGGAGCGTCCCTCGGCCCCGAGGCAGCCTCAGCCTGGTCTTTGTGAAAGTATAGCCTCTGGATCCAGGGGCTCGACTGGGGCGGGAGAAGGCAGGGGAGCCGCTATGGAAGGAGAAAGTGAGGGCTGAAGACCTGCATCCTGGGTTCCAGAGCCAGGGTGCCTTCTGAGAATGCCCGGTCCTGCGTGCTCGACTTCTCTCTGCTGTTGAAGTCTTCCAGAGACTCCCCTTGGGTAAACTCAGATGGGCAGAGCAGACCGCAGAGACCCATGAGGGGCGGCAGGTTTCCTGTGGGCTCGGGGGAGTCAAAGGGTTGTCGCGAGGCTGCTGGGCAGGGAATGTGTGGGGTCACAGCTAACGACAAAAGGCAGGGTTCTGAGCTCAGTGGTCAGAAGCAGGGGTGTGAGGGTGTGTGGTAATGTGCCACTGCATTCCAGGGGGCATTTTGAGGAACTGTGGCTTGGAGACTCTCGTGACCAATGAGAGCGGAATGGGGTTGGGAAGGCTGGGTGGACAGCGAGGAGGGTTGCAGGGCGTATTTTGCTCCTTCTGTCTTCAAAGTGCCTCCCCTGTCCATTTCTGAAATAACAGTTTCCTTTCGGTCCTCAGTGCCAATATCACCACCCCCTAGGACCTTCTAAGGTCTCCTTAGTTTTGTAGGACAACCCCAGGTCAACATACACATGCCTAATCCTGGCCAGATGTCACCTGTCATTTAGCGAGGCTTAGATTCCCCCAATAAGTTTATAGTCTCTGGTAACTTGGGTCAGCTAACTCAGTAAATGGACGATTTATATAATGGAAATCCGATAAAATTTTGTCAACCATGACTGGATAGATCCCTAAAGGGAAACCTATGGGGGAAAGAAATTTCCAGAGAATCACTTACACTGGGATTTGAAGCGCCACTCAAGATGTTGAAATTGAAATTGGGCAGTTCTTCAATGTCCCAGCAGGGGGCGTGTCAGCACAGTATTAGAGAGCCAAGATTGAGGAGGTAAGCCCATACCCTGACAGGAATTGGAATCACAGGGACTTGGAAGACCACCAAGAGCTCCGGGCAGTTCTTCTTTTTCCTTCATCTGTAATTGTCACCCATCTATCACAAATACCAAAGAGTGTTTGCATATCTGTGATCCAACTTTTGTGAGTTTTAAAAAATCATGATAAACTAAACATGTTAGCTCAAGTTTGTAATCCCAGCACCTGGGAGGTAGAGGCAAGAGGATTGGGAGTTTAAGGCCAGCTTCTGTGACACAGTAAGTTTTAGGGCAGCCTGGAGTGTATGAGAGCATATCTCCAAAAACAAAACAAAAGAAAAAAGGCATTATAAAGCCAGGGGCATAGCAGACTGAAGCAGGGGGTTTGCCGGCACCCAAGAGCAGCCTGAGAAATATATTGAGAACCCCTTTATGTAGATGGAATATTTCTGTCCCGCCTGGTCCCGCAGTCATTCAGTTCCAAATAAACACACAGAGGCTTGTATTAATTATAAAATGTTTGGCTGTTAGCTCAGGCTTATTACTAACTAGCTCTTACAACTTAAACCAACCCATAATTCCTATCTATGTTTAGCCACGTGGCTTGGTACCTCTTCTCAGTAAGGCATTCTCATCTTGCCTCCTCTGCGTCTGGCTGGTGACTCCTCTTTCTTTTCCTCTTCCCAGAATTCTCCTAGCCTGATAGCCCTGCCTATATGTCCCGCCTGGCTACTGGCCAAACAGCATTTTATTAAACCAATACTAGAGACAAATCTCTACAGTGAACAAGAGCATTATCCCACATCACCTTTGTCTTAGTTATTTTTCTCTGTTGCTTTGATAAAAACACAATGACTAATGCAGCTTATAAGAACTTACATTGTTTTGTTTTTCCAGACAGGGTTTCTCTGTGTAGTCCCGGCTGTTCTGGGACTCACTCTGTAGACCAGATTGCCCTCTAACTCAGAGATCCTCTGCCTCTGCCTCCCGGGAGCTAGGATAAAAGGCATATACCACCACCACTAGGCTCTGAGATCTTTCCAAAGACCTCCATCAGGGTTAGCTTTTCTATCAAAAAAAAAAAAAAAAAACCTTTCAGAGCAAGTCAGCAGGAGGCAGATTTGGTACTTATTAAGAAGTGGCTTGGTGATTAAGAGAGCTAGTTGTTCTTCCAAAGGACCCCAGTTCGATTCCCAGCACCCATATAGCAGCCCACAGCTGTCCGTAACTCTAGTCCCAGAGGATTGAATGACTTCTTCTGGCCTCTAAAGGTACCGGTCATACACACAGTACACAGACATGCATGTAGACAAAAACCCATATAGATAAAACACATTTTGAAAATGTATTTTAACATAGATTTAATTAGGGGAAGACGGCACTTAGGGAACGGGTAGGACACATTCGAGATGTGGTGTGATGTCTCCAGAGTTAGCAAGAGCCATGCAGGTACAGCATTAGACTTCTGAAGTCCAACCCTCAAGGGGTTTCTAAGGTTCTCAACTCCTTTTCCCTCCCTCCCTCCCTCCCTCCCTCCCTCCCTCCTTTTAGATTGGGCATTACTATGTAGCCCTGCTGTCCTAGAACTCAGAGATCTGCCTATGCCTTTGGAGTACTGGGATTAAAGGCATGCGCCACCATGTTTAGCTGGGAAATTTTCAAAATGAGCTCATAGGGTGGTTTCTAGGGTGCACTGGAGCATAGTCCAGGCTGAGGAGACAAAGCCATAGATTCCCAAGGATTAAAGAAATCCTTACTATCCCAGGTCACAAGGGAGTTAAGACATGTTTTGACTACAAAAAAAATTCACAGTCATGTTTGTGAGAATCTCAAAGAAGATATTCCTTTCTCAGTTGTAAGGACCTTTGGTTTAAGTCACATACACTCGATGACCCATACTGTTCCAACATCCTTATGTGAACTGACTCCATTCAAAGGAAGGATGTCTCTATGTAGGCAATTTTTGTGGCAGGTTTTGTTAGCCCTGCTGAAATTCTGGGCCCTCAGTTGGGCAAAGTCTTCAACCAGACTCAGGTGAGGGGCTCCTTTTCCTTGGTGCACCCCGTCAGCACGCCCCTCCTCTCTCTCCTGCCCCTGGTCTCTGCCACGGCCCAGCTGTGGGCTCTCACATGTTTGCCTCCCTTCCCTCACGCTTCCCATCAACAATGAACTTGGACCTGGATGACCTGTTGAGGGTGGACCTAGTTAGGTCCCTGCCATTCTGCCTCTGCCCTCACAGAAACCCTGCTGTGGCCTTGTGGTCCCGATGTCATGATGTCGTGGGCATTTCCCACCTGTGGGTTGCTTTGTCAACTTGACACAAGCTAGATTTATTTGAGAAGAGGAAGCTCAGTTGAGGAAGTGCCCCCCCTTCAGGTTAGCCTGCAGGCAGCTCTGTAGGGTGTTTTCACTAGTGATTGACGTGGGAGAGCCCAGCCTGTTGTGGACAGTACCACCTGTGGGCAGGTGGTCCTAGGCTGTATAAGGCTGGGCAAGCCATCAGGTGCGAGCCAGTAAGCAGTGTTTCTCTGTGCCCTCTGTTTCATCTTCTGCCTCCAGGTTCCTGCCTTGGTTTCTCTCCATGGCGGACTACGGCTTGAGATATGTATGTAGGCCAATAAGCCCTTTCTTTCCAAGTTGATTTCAGTCACGGTGTCTGCACAGCAATAGGGATTAGGACACCAGCAATGCCTTCCTTCACAGCCCACACAGCCGCTGCAGGGATGAAATACTCAGGCAAGCAAAGGAATCAGGACTTTGTCTAGACGTAAGACGTGCTGGCATGCTCAGGTTAGGAAGACTGCAGGCTCGAGGGCTGCCTAGACTACACCCTGAGCTCCAATGGGCTCCGTCGGCGTGTATGTGCACACCTGGTCATCCATCCGCAGGCGAATGGGAGGGAGGGACTTTCTGAGCGCTTTGGGGGCTGACTGACCCTCAGTGTGGTTTCTGAAGGTCGCAGAATCTGCAGAAGTAAAGGACTCACGCTGGATGGTGGGCTGCAGGCCACCAGCTGCCAGGAGCCTAGAAAGGAACACACGACGTGAAGCCTGAAGTCCCTGAAGGCCAAGGGGCAGCTTCCCTGCCAGGAGAGCAGCACCGTCCCCTCCCTACATACACCATTGTGGCAAGACGGCAAAGGAAGCAGGGATGGCCCAGCTGTAAGCCCAGCCCAGACTTCTCTGGGCTCAGTGTTGTCTCCCTCACCGTGTCCCACTGTGGTTGTGGGGGTGGTCTGGGAGGTAGAAGAGTCTCCTATGCAGTCCAGCTCACTCTCAACTCAGACCTGCATCAGGCTGTGGTTGCCAGGGTGAACACCCGGCCACGCCGCTCCTTTAAGGGTAAAGGTTGGGTGCCCGAGCCCAGCTCCAGCAGGGTTCGGGTCCCAGAGAGGAGGTGTGGAGTCAGTGACGGAAGGAGACTGGCAGTCTGAGGGTGAGTCAGGATGGCTGCCCACATATTGGAAATAGGCTACACCTTACTCTGTAATTGCGCCATAGTTTAACCACAGGCAGTATTGGAAGCAGGCGTAACGGTTCTGAGGTGACAGTGGACATCGACATCATCACAGCATTTTTCTCAAAGCAAAAAGCAGTAAGTGCCCCTTGCCCTCTGAGGTTCAGTAGCCCTGCCAGGCGCCTCTTACACTTCCTCCTGCGCGGCTCGGCCCTTGTGGTCAGGAGGTGTCAGATGTTGAATCCTGAGAAACAAACCCCAAAGAGCAGTTTTCATTCCTCAAGGGGCACGATGCAGTGTTTGTCCCGTGTAGCACGGGCGTCGCATTCCTTTGTGCCTTAGCCTCGTCATGCAGGCCTGCTCTCCTCAAAAGCTCCCAGAAGGGAAGGTCCTGACACCTTGCTCTTTCCCAAACCATTCTGGTTTCTTCAGCATGTGCTCCTGTACCTGGCAGAGGGGATCAAGCCAGTCTAACTTCTTAACAGAATCTGCTCCCCCTGGGGCAGATCAGATCTCCCCGTTCATCCAGCAAGCCACCAGGCCCGGGCAGTGGTCTATACTCATTAGCTGACTCTTGCCCTTCATGGCCTCAGCTCTGAATCTGGCCCCATTGTTTCTCTTGTGTGTTTTTCATTCCTGGAACCAGGCAAGTCCAGTTAGTAAATCTTTAACTTTTCTAGTCTCGGTCTAATCACAGGAGCACAGTGGGGAATCCTGTGTGTGGAGTAGGCAGAGTCACCACGTCATATGGTTCCATGGTGACGGCGACTTTTTTTTAAGAATTATTTTGTTTAAAGAGACTGCCATTGTATATGTACCAACACCCACAAAAATTCCCAAAGGAAGCGAGATAAGGAACTCTCATAACACATAAAAATGGAAGTTAAATGATGGTGGAGAGTCGTGAGTCGCAATGTTGAAACGCTGGGATTTTGTTAAACGGCAGTGGTCGCCGTGCGGTCCACACCAGTCGAGAATTGACAAGGCCTCCTAGACGATGCACAGCACAATGTGTGCAGGGTCCCCAGGAACTAGAGATGGTTGTGAATGCAACTACAATTTTCCATGTGGAACATCACCCCCTTTAAAAAAATAAAAATCTATAGATTGACCTTTTTTTTTTCTTTTTCTTTTTTGAGACAGAGTTTCTCTATGTATCCTTGGCTGTCCCAGAACTCACTATACAGACCACATTTGCCTAGAGCTCAGAGATTCACATGCCTCTCTGCCTCCTGAGTGACTGGTCTCCTTCTCCCCCAACTCCTCTCATAGATGACAGTTTTCTTTGAAGATTTTTGTGTATGTGTGTGTCAGTTTGTTTGGGTGCTAAGAGGCCAGAAGGTGTCAGGTCCCCTGGAGTTGGATTTACAGGTCACTGTGAACCATCTGACGTGGGTGCTGGGAACTGAACTCAGTCCTCCAGAAAAGCAGTAAGTTCTTTGCTTCTGAACTATCTCTCTGGACCTACAGATCAACTCTTAATATCTGGATAATTCTTTAATTACACTTCTAAGTAACTATTTTGATATTTTTGGGCTTTTACTGCCTATTTCTGCATAATTCTTATTGATTTCCCAAGTCTTTTTAATTTTTTTTTTTTCGAGACAGGGTTTCTCTGTGGCTTTGGAGGCTGTCCTGGAACTAGCTCTTGTAGACCAGGCTGGCCTCGAACTCACAGAGATCCGCCTGCCTCTGCCTCCCAAGTGCTGGGATTAAAGGCGTGCACCACCAATGCCCGGTGTCTTTTTAATTTTTAAAATATTAGGTTGGAGAGATGGCTTAGCCGTTAAGAGCACTAGCTGCTCTTCCACAGACCTGGGTTCGATTCCCAGCACCTATATGGCCACTAACGACCATCCAGTTATAGGGGTCCAACACCTCTTCTGCCTACACACGGTACACATACATAGATGCTGACAAAACATCTACACACATACAGCTCAAACTGGTTTTTTTGTTTTTTGGTTTTTTTTTTTTTGGTTTTTCGAGACAGGGTTTCTCTGTATTATTTTGGAGGCTGTCCTGGCACTCGCTCTGTAGACCAGGCTGGCCTCGAACTCACAGAGATCCACCTACCTCTGCCTCCCAAGTGCTGGGATTAAAGGTGTGTGCCACCAACGCCCGGCTCAGCTCAAACATTTTAAATTGTGACTCATAGAATGTTGCGTACACATATGTATGTATATATGTATGTATATATGTATGTATGTATGTATGTATGTGTAGCAAAGTCCCCCAGTATGATGTTCCAGTACAAGCAATCTGGGTAACACTGTTCTGTCCTGAGTCCATTTCATCATCTGTTCTTCCTTCTTCCTTGTGACTTTCCCAACACCCGAATTGTTTCATGTCATCGGTGAGCTTTGCCGGTAAGCATTCTTTCTCATCATGTCTCCCTGTGCCTTTTACATCCCTGCAGTGCTCCCGTGCCATCACATTTTATATATTTGTGTAATTTTTAGCAAAAATGTTGCCCAGGGCCAGTGAGATAGCCCAGCAGGTAAAGGTACTTGCCACCAAGCCTAACGACTCCCTAGGTTTGGTCTTGGAACCCACCTGTTAAAGGAAAGAACCAAGCCGGGCGTTGGTGGCGCACGCCTTTAATCCCAGCACTTGAGAGGCAGAGGCAGGTGGATCTCTGTGAGTTCGAGGGGCCAGCCTCCAAAGCCACAGAGAAACCCTGTCTCAAAAAACCAAAAAAAAAAAAAGGAAAGAACCAACTCCAAGTTATCCTCTGATCTCCTCACACAAATTGTGACAAACATGTGCACTCACACACAAATAAGTGAAAAAATGTAAGGTTTTGTCAGTACTCACCTGCTCTGTGGTGACGTTCTTCCTGTTATTGCTATTATGTGACACCTTTACTTTCTAACTTTCACTTTTCAGATAGAATGTTGCTATGTAGCCCAGATTGGCCTTGACCCCTCTGCCTCCTGCTTTTGCTTCCTGCTATGTGGACTCCATGCATCTGCTGTGTTGTTCTATATATGGAACAGTCCCTGAAGGTCTGTGACAGGAGATTCAGGACTTTTTTCAGGCCTACTGGAACTTTTCTTAAGGCCCAGCATTTACATTTCCTTAGTTTTATAAATGAAGTATCCCAAAATACAAAACACATGCATGTGTAAGGCACATAAATCAATAATGAAATTCCTCATCCCTCCCACCGAGCTCCAGAGAGGGAAGCATCCATGACTGGAGCACTAGCTCAGGGATTAAGCGTGCTGAGCATGTGCGAGAGGCCTTTGGTTGAATCCCACCACTGCAAAAATAAACAACCTTGTTCCTAATACTCAGGGGGCTGAGGCAGGAGGACTACCTTTTGAGGTTAGTCTGGGCTACAAGGTGAGTTCTAGGCCAGCCGAGATTATTGTACGAGACCCAGTCTCCAACCAACCAACTTTCCTGCTGCCCTGGGAGCCTGTGTCCCATCTCATCTCTACTCCAGAACATGCCCCGGTCCTGAGTGTGTTCACCAGTTTTCTGGAACTCCTCAGGTATATGTACTCAAGTTACGTGTGTAACTTTAGATATACCGCATCCCTCTCTCTCTTATGTATGTTTGAGCAGGAGCGCGCGTGCGCGCGCACACGCGCGCGCACACACACCTACTGCTTAAGTCTAATGATGTGGCCCCATAACTTGCTCCTCCATCCTTTTAATGGCAACCTGAATCCATCCTAGGTTCTTGTTCTTCAAATATAGCTGCTTGGGATTTTGGTTTTTGTTTGGTTGGTTGGCTGGTTATTTTTTTGAGACAGATTTCTCTGTGTAGCCCTGGCTATCTTGGAACTCACTTTGTAGACCAGGCTGGCCTCGAACTCACAGAGATCCACCTGTTTCTGCCTCCCGTGTGCTGGGATTAAAGGTCTGTGCCACCACTGGCGAAGGGCTTGTTTTTCAACATAGTTTTATGATGTAGCCTAGCCTGATCTAGAACTTTTGCCCAGACTAGCTTGAAGCTTTCAGTTTTTGTGCCTCAGCCTCCGGAGTGCTGGGATTACAGGTGTGCACGGCAATGCCTGCCTGGGGGATTTTTTAGCTTGTTTTCTCTAGCACAGAATACACTTTAGAATCATCGGGGACAGTGGCAAAGCACTGCTGCCCCAGGCCCGCTCTAGAAGACTGATTTAACTGGCCTTTGTAAATAAAACTCAGACATAGGAGGTTGCTTTTTATTGGGGAGCTGCCCAGTGTTGAACTGTCTAACTAATTCTGCTGTGTTCCACCTAGCCACACTCCCCCCTTAGCTGGTAGGGTTTCTGCTTAGCCCTCCCCATCTCATCCCCACACACGGGGTGAAGCAACATCGCTTCCTTCATCAGAGAACTGTCAGTCAGGGGCTTCAAGCAATGGCCGGGCTCCCTGGAGACTCTTCAAACCAGGAGTATCTGCAATGCTCGAGGACCTTTATCTTTGCAGCCTGCCTCACTGACTCCCCCCACACTTCAGCTCCAAGCCCCCTTTAGCTCCTTAAGTCCCCGCTGTCACCAAAGCCCAGGAAGATGTGGCTTGTCTCTGCTGCCTATACCAAGCGAGTGATTTCAGAACAAGGGGAGACTTGATGCCACACTACCAGATTCCAAGGCAAAGATCTTAGCGAGTTCAGGTGGGGAGCTGAGGAATCCTCAGCGGTTAAGAACTTAGCTGCTTTTGCAGAGGACCTCGGTTTGATCCAGTACCCACACAGTGGCTCACAGCTGTAACTGGTCCTGGGGATTTGGCGCCCTCTTCTGGCCTCCACGAGTACTGCACTAATGTGGTGCACAGACATGCACATAAAATAAAATAAAAATTTAAAGGTTTGGCATGATGGCACGTTCTTGCAATACCAATATTTTGGAGGCTGAGGGTCACTGTGAGTTCTAGGCTAGTTTGGGCTACACAGTGAGATCCAGGCTAGGGTAGCCAGATTTTGTTTCAGACATGGGGGAGAGACTTGCATGGACTTGGGTTACATGCAACCCAGTTTCAAACAAAAGGGGGGGTGTGAGATGGCTCAGAGGGTAAAGGTAATGACTGCCAAGCCTGATGACATGACTTTGATCCCTGGGACCCACATGGTGGAAGGAGAACCAGTCCGTGACCCCCACATGTGCACCGTGACACGCATGCCCTCACACACACACAAACACAAAGGAATCATTACATAGGCTACCAGGCCCACACCTGTATTCATGTAAACTTAGGCTGAATTGAATGACAGCGGACAGTTCCTGGGTTCTATACTATAAGCTTTCAAACAACTAAAACTTCCTCTGCTCAGAGAAATAGAACCATCTTTCCTCAGGGTAAGCTATGTTTTAGGCAAGGGCTCTCTCCACCATCCCAGGACCCTGACTGAGCCGACTGCCTGGCCTCTGGAAAGACTGCCACCAGGGCCCCATGAATCATGTCAACTACACTGTCGTCCTTAGTGCCTGCCACAGCTGGAAATCAACAAGCAGGTTTGGAGGGTTTGTGGCATTTACTAAACCCACAAGGAAGCTCTGGTCCAGGAGCTTCTCCTCAACCCAGAGGCCAAAATATTTGTCCCTCACCTTGACAACTGCAGAAGCCGTCAACAGGTCTGTGGCTGGGCCAGTTGGTCAGAGCTAAACCTAAACACATCTGGGAGCTGTTAGTTTTTGTTGCTGTGACAAAGCAGTCAACTACATACCCATTTATTATCTTGGCTTCTCAGTTATTTGCTCTAGCTTGAGAAAACCTTTTTTGGTTTTGGTACCGGGAACCAAAAACAAGGCCATGTGCATAGGCAAGCGCTCTCTCTATCCACGGATCCCAGCCATTACCTCAGGCACAGGCTGTGTTCTCATTTGAAACTCCTTTTCCAAGATGACACAGTGCTGGCAGAACCCAGCTCCTTGTAGTTGTGGGGCTGTAGCCAACTTTCTTGGTGGCTTTGCATTGGGACATGCTGTATTGTGGTGATATTTATAGTTTATTAAAGCCTGCCTGAGGATTCAGAAAGCAAAATCAGCCTCAAGCTATAGAGGTCAGGCAGTGGTGATCCACTCTTTTAATCCCAGCAGCCGGAAGCTAGGAGTTGGTGGCACACACCTTTAATCCTAGGACTCAGGATTAAGAGGTATACAGATCTTTTCAAGTTCAAGGCTGCCCAGATCTACACAAGACTGATCCAGTCCTAAAGAGAAACAGCTCACACAAAGATGATCTCAGCACCTGAAATCACATGCTTTTAATCCCAGCCCTAGAGGGATGTAAAAGATAGGAACAGAGGCTTCAGTAGTCAACATCCGGCACTCAGTATTAGGGATTCATTCCCAAGCCACAGTGAGGACAGGAGGACATTGCATTCTCAGGATTCTCCAGCCAGGCTGAGGTTTGGTGGAGCCAGGATTGCCTTTCATTCTGAGGTAGAGAAAGAGCTGGAGACTGGCTGCTTTGCTTTTCTGATCTTCAACTTAAAGCTTGAACCCCAACATCAGTCTCTGGGTCCTTTATTTTTCTTGCTACATCATATACTTCTCAAAACTTCACAGCTAGGGGCTGAAGAGATGACTTAGCAGTTAAGAGCACTGGCTGCTCTTCCAGAGGACCCGGGTTCAATTTCCAGCAACCACATGGCAGCTCACAGCTGTCTGTAACTCCAGTTCCAGGGGATCTGAAACACTTATGCCTATGTACATAAGAAAATAAAACCTTCACAACTAACTGCTGCATGGGCAGCAAGACAAATGCTTGTTTTCTAGTCTTTTAAAGGATCAACAGAGTCGGCCATGCTCACTCAGGATAATCTCCCTGGTAATTAACTCTAAATCCAGCAGGAACCGTGAGTCCACCTGCAAATCCTTTCCCTTTATTGGGGCTTCTCCACTCAGGCCCAGAAGAGAAACCCCAAGGTCATTCAGGTCACTGGGGTCAGTGCAATTCTGCTTCTCAAAGGGGCTTTTCCTTACACCCACAGCTAAACTTCGGCAGCGGGACAAGCAGATTCAAGCCAGGGGAAACAAGTTTCAAGGACAGGAAACAGTGGATACTTTTATTTGAAACAAAGATCAGGCAGGATGGATTATAGGAGTGTGGGCAGGCAGCAGGGAGAAGGAAGGGTTCCTGTACTGACACTGCTGCTGCTGGCCCAGCCTGCCTCGCCCCTCCCCCCATTCTCAACCTGGACTCTCCTACAGGAGATGGAGACAGGTCCTAATCTGCAAGGTCAGTTCTGGCCCCACTCCCGTGAGACATCAGTGACATTGGCTTCTTCAAGAACAAGTTTCATAGTCCAAGTTGAATGTGGATGACTGTGACAGACTCCCACACAAATACACACATGGCAAGGGATACATAGAAACATGAACGTTTACTATCTATTGTTTGACAGAAATGACAACAGGACACAGATCCACACTACAGCAAAATGGGGCGAGGTGGGAAGGGCAGAGGACACAGATGGATCAAGCAACTGGGGAGTGACTTCTTTAGTACCCCTGAGGCCCTTTGACGGCTGACCCATAGCTCCAAGAATTACACACCGAGGAAGACCAGCAGGTGGCAGCCAGCATCACTGAGCGGAGCCTGCAGCTTGTACAGCATAAATATTCAAGGGTGGAGAGGGTCAGCACTGTCACATCAGGAGGGGACCCTGAGGTACACCCCTTCTCCTAACACTATAAGACGCAGGTCCCCTCACACCTTGGTCTTCCAAGACATAGCAGCACCACACACCACTGCACCCGGAAGCTTCACTCTGCTACAATCCAGTGTGGGAAGAGGCAGTGGCGGCTGAGGGACAGGAGTTGGCTGGAGGAGCAGGTGTGTGCTTGAGGCTCCTCCTAGGCATCCTGGAGATTGCTAGTGCTCAGGAGCACCTGCTCTCCAGGCTTGAAGGCTGGCATCCCAAGGTAGGGGCAGTTGGCGCAGCGGAAAGCGTCCCCCAGATAGCACTGTGGAGAGAACAGGAGTCACGGAGGCCAGCGGCTAAAGGAAAGGACATCTTAGCATGCCCACAGCTCTTGTTTTATGAAGTCAGTCAGTAAGGGTTCCAGTCTTACTGGTGAGGTGTACACACTTGGAACTGCTGTGCTTGGGGGGCTGAGGCACGTTTACGGCCTGCCTCAACTACACAGCCAGCCCCGTCAGGAGACAAGAGGACTAGTAGCCCCATCAGGGTTTAGTATAGGATCACAGCAAGGTCAGCCAAATGGCTAAGCAAACCACATCCCACACAAGGAAGAGACAAAGGCTAACAAAGTTAAAAAAAAAAAAAAAAAAAAAAAAAAGGAGGAGGAGGAAGAGAAGGAGAAAAGGGAGGAGGAGGAGGGGAGCACCCCTCAGCACTGGCACCAGAATGCTAACCCCTCCTGCCCCAGGATAACCTCTTCTCATCATAGCTATGTCCACAGCCTTTCACGCTGGCCTACTATGGCAAAACCTGATGACAAACCCCTTAGGTTCAGCTAATGTCTCCATGTCACCAGGAGTGGGTGCGCGTGGTGTGTGCAGGTACGTACATTTCCACAGGCAGACTTGGGCTGAGTGCCCTGCTCCTTTGACTTCTCTCTCTCCAGCTCTTCTGCAAGGCCACAGGTGCTAGGGGGAAACCAATGGCTGATGAATCAGACTTGCCACCACCCAGAAACTTCCAATCTCTAACAGTGCTAACACACAATTGAAGACTTTTCTCTTTCTGCCAAGCATCAAGTCAATGCTACGGAACCAGCAGGCTAGGGGTGAGGCTGCTGGGGAAGACAGCAGAGTCACCGTAGTTTCCAAATTCAACAACAGAAGGACCGAGATGCAGCTCAGTGGTACAGCACTTGCCTAGCATGTGCAGGACCCTGGGCTTAATCTCCAATGCCATGATAAAAATCTGGACTGTTACTTAGAATCCGCTCATTTGTAAATGTTGGAAACTGGAACACCTAAAGCCTGACAAGGGCTGCACGTGGCAGTCAGGCCTGAAATCCCATACCGGGAAGTTAAAGAACAGCTCCAAGTTCAAGGTCAGCCTGAACTACATTGTGACTCTTTCTTTTTTTTCTTTTTTTTCTTTTTTTTTGGTTTTTTTCGAAACAGGGTTTCTCTCTGGCTTTGGAGGCTGTCCTGGAACTAGCTCTTGTAGACTAGGCTGGCCTCGAACTCACAGAGATCCGCCTGCCTCTGCCTCCCGAGTGCTGGGATTAAAGGCGTGCGCCACCAACGCCCGGCGTGACTCTTTCTTAAAAAGCAAAACAATAAAAACAACCAGGCCGGGAGGTGGTGGTGCAAGCCTTTAATCCCAGCGCTTGGGAGGCAAAGGCAGGAAGATCTCTGTGAGTTTGAGACCAGCCTGGTCTACAGAGCGAGTTCCAGGACACCCTCTAAAGCCACAGAGAAACCCTGTCTTGAAAAAAAAAAAAATCAAATCAACCAAACAGTGGGTGAATAAATAAGCCAAGTCTGCCTAACACTAGTACAGGCACCAATGCAAGGCTTCCACGTTAGGACAGACTGACACAGGTGAAATTCCATCTCTCAAACCCCCATCAAAACTACAGAAACAGTAATGCACTGTTGGAGAATCAGCTTAACAGACAAACCAGCACTCCTGCCACACCTGAAACCTTAAGGTGCCAAAGGGCTGGTGGCATACATTGGAAGACTTCCCTGAGCAATCCAGCCAGTCTACTCAGAGTCAGTCTATACAGGGCTCTGGGATTTGGAGCCTCCCTACCCCCAACATCTACCTAAGTTCCCTTCAATAAAAGTAAACACATCAATTCACCTCTGATGCTCAGTTAACATAATCAGCTTGTTTTTGCTTATTTTAAGAAGTTTTTTGAGTCAGTCTTGTGATACAGTCCAAGCTAGCTATGAACTTGCAATCCTTCCTCAACCACCTGCATGCTGGGATTTAAGTGTGCATCACCACACCTGACTCTGTTCTCCACTTTTCAATTATGAAGACCACGACCACCAAGGATCCCAAGAAATCCTCTAACCAAGGAGTCAGAGGCCAGCTAAAAGAAAATGGCAGCTTGGAAGAAACAGACTAAGGACAGAAAGGGCTGAAGAGACAGATCAGCAGTTAACAGTGCATACTGCCCTTGCAGAGGCCCGAGTTTGGTTCCCTTCATAGGCGCCAGTGTATACACCCAATTAAAAAAGAAAAATTAGTCGGTTGGTGGTGGTGCATGCCTTTAATCCCAGCACTCGGGAGACAGAGCAAGTCAATCTGAGTTCGAGGCCACTCTACAGAGCTAGTTCCAGGACAGCCAAGGCTACACATGAAACCCTGTTTTGAAAAACAAAAAATAAAATAAAGAAAGAAAGAGAGAAAAAACTCAGCAAAAAGACTGCAGAGCTGCACTGGGTGGTTAGTGCATAGGAGATATCAAGGAAACGAAGACCCCAGGGGTTTCTTTCCAAAATTGAAAAAGTGGTCTTCCAGGTCAAGGCTTTAGGGAAGGGTTAAAGCCAGCTGGCTTCAGCCAGGCGTTGGTGGCGCACACCTTTAATCCCAGCACTCGGAAGGCGGAGGCAGGCGGATCTCTGTGAGTTCGAGGCCAGCCTGGTCTACAGAGTGAGTTCCAAGACAGCCTCCAAAGCCACAAAGAAACCTTGTCTCAAAAAAAAAAAAAAAAAAAAAAAAGCCAGCTGGCTTCAGCCTTATTATCAGGGTCACCAGAGACAGGAGATAGCAGAACTGTCTCTGAGAGCTTAAACCATACAGAAAAACAACTTCTGACCTCGGAACTAGGACAACTACTATGATACTTCCATTTCCTTTCTTTTTCCTTTGGTTGTTTTGAGGCGGGGGTCTCACTGTGGAGCCTTTGCTGTCCTGGAACACCATGTAGACCAGGTTAACTTCAAACTCAAGAGAGATCTGCCTACTTCTGCCTCCTGAGTGCTGGGACACCCAACCATGATGCTTCCATTTCTTACTCTAGACCATGGTGTGCCGGTCTTTTCTTTAAGGTTACCTGCTTGGTTTACCCCTCTGTACACCTCACAGGAAATCCCATTCTCAACAGACTGGGGGGGAGCGGGGGTGGGGGACACAGAGATGGGTCTGGAGAAGAAGCTGCAGCCCAGACCTGCTCCCTCAGCACTCACCAGTTCTTACAAGCCTTCCTCTTTTTCCCTTCCCCACATGAAGGAGCCTTCAGGGAGGCTGGATCGGGCTTCTTCAAATCTTCTGGATCTAGCAGTTCATCTGAGTCAATGAGATCCTGGAGAGTGATAAAACAATAACACCACAGCCATGGTGTCTGAGAAACGCTGAGGTAATCACAGGCTGACAGCATGCTTGCACAAGGCAAAGACAAAGCTACCCCTGATGTGAACTACGCCATCGGCTGAAGAGAGCAACAGTCCATGGAAGACTGCATGAGGTCACAGACAGCTGCATGATTGGCTGGTACTATGTAGAGAATGTGTGCAGTGCGCGTGTGTGCGTGTGTGCGTGCGTGTTCATGGTGAGGGTAGGACCAGGTGAAATGAAGAAAAGTGTTGTATTTATTTCAATATATGAATAATCTTGGGAATAAAATCAAAGGAAGTAAAACATTTTCCATAAAAATTCTAGAGGAATAAAAGCAAATAATTATTTACATAAAATAATTATACATATATTTGCATAATTTTCTTGGTAAATGTGAAGACAGCTATACCTATAAATTCTGAGAGCAAGTGACTCTGCTTCTGTCTCCTGAGTTAAAGGTATTCACTACGACCCAGTTTAATTTTCTTATAGATTTAGCAGATCAAAGATGCAAACACTGAGTTTAAGGCAGCGAGCATTCAATAAATTTCACTGAATTTCATTCAGTGAGCATTCAAGTGCCTAGACAGAGGTCAATAAAATATCTCAGCTGACAAATTCTTTCCTGGTTTATGCCTACAAGAATCTACTATTTCATGTAAGGGGAAGACAAAAAATCCGTAGTGGGGAAAAAGATACTAAAAAAAATGTAAAATGCTACAAATATGGAATGTCTTAATAAAAGACACCAAAGTCAGGCAATGTTACATGCTGGGCCTTAAATTCATTCACACCTACAAATCTAAAAGGCCACTGTCAGGAAACTGGAGACATGGCTCAGTGGTTAGAAGTACTTTCTGCTCTTGCAGAGGATGTGGGTTTGGTTTCAAGTACCTACTCAGCTGCTGATAACTACCTGTAACTCGACTCTAGTTCCTAGGGATCCAACACCCTCTTCTGGGCTGTAAGGGCACCAGGCATGCATAGTGCACAGACAGACAGACACTCATACACATGAAATTAAACTAAAAAAAAACAAGAAATTTAAGGCCATTTCTCACTATAGTTGTTACACTTAATCCGAGGCCTGTTACACTTAATCCAAGGCCTGAGAGGGAGCAGTCAAGTGACCACAGAGCCAACTCACCATGCTGTCATCCTCCATGTCATTGGCTGAGAGGGTCCAGAGCTTGGCAGCAGCAGGATCCACAACAGGCTTCACTGAGTCCAACCATAAAAGAAAAAGAACTCTAAGCAGTCAGAAGCAAACCACAAAGCAAGCCCCAGCACCTGTGGAGACTAGAAGACAATGACTGGACAGACTGAGAGGGGAGGCTATACACTCAGCTCCACAGCAAAGCAGTCTGCATGCATTACATGCTTGCTTTGTGCTAGGCACTCCACCAATGCTTCCATCACCTCACCTACCCTAAGAACCCGTGAGGTGCCTGCCGCCCTAGTTCTACAATGTGGCCATGTGACGCGACAACCTCCATTCCTTGCTGCCCTTTCCTGGCTACCTGAGTTTACACCTCTGTAACATGGGTTGTAGCACTCCCTCTGGCCACTGCAGGTATTTTGAGAATTAAATGAGAGAAGTAACAACAACTTCAAAAAACAGCAAAGATTTAGTCTCACTTAAGCCTGTAACGTAAGAAAACAGACTCCAGTGCTGTTGGTAGCCAGATAAGTCAGTGACAGAACATTTTCCATCTGGGTCAGGACATCAGAAAGAAATCTATGAGACTCAGAGCTGGGGATTTGAGGGGCAAATCCTCAGTAAGGCCTTTGGGTTAGCACACAACCAGGGATCATCACTGCCACAGCTGATGCTCAGAACATCCACAAGGTCAACTGCTGATCTGAACTGTCCCAACCCTCCAAGAACTGTGAAATACAAGGTCCAAGTATTTCCTGAGGCCATGAGAACATGATCCTCTAATTCCTACCATTCACAGGGCAGAGAAGTGAGGACCAGAAATTGAAATCAAAGTACTTCAAGATTGAAGCTAGCTAGGTGGTGGTGGTGGCATGCACCTTTAATCTCAGCACCTGGGAGGCAGAGGAAGGAAGATCTCTGTGAGTTTGAGGCCAGCCTGGTCTACAGAGTTAGTTCCAGGACAGCCAGGACTAAACAGAGAAACCCTGTCTGGAGAAACAAGGAAAAAAAAAAAAAAAAAAAGAAGAAGAAGAAGAAAAAGAAGATTGAGACTAGACAGCAAAAGAATGCAGTATGGATATGCCAGCAAACATCCGTTAAATCTACGCATTCCTCACAGCCAAGGAACAACTGGGGCAAGTGAAAACTTTAATAGGAAGGATGAGAGATGAGTAACGTGAGCATGTAAACAAACTTGCGCACATATTTTTAAAGCAGAAGAAACACAGGTTTTGTTTTTAAGCATTTCAACAGGACGCATCCTGGAGGATGTACATCAAAATCAAACCAACATGAAAACTGCATCTGCAGGAGATTGCAGCAGCAAGGCAATGATGCCTATGAAAATGTCATGACAAAAACCATTTTTCTGGCTTCCAGCAGCATCAGGTAAACAGGCCGGCTTCCCGGCCTGTGCTCCAGTGCCTGCAGATCGCCTGGGACCTGCACAGAGCTCCCAATCCCGGCGGGAGCCAAGCACCCCAGACTCCGGATCTTTGCTCACACCAACGAGACCAGGAAACCAGACGACCCAGGGAAACCAGGGGAGTAGCTATTCTGGATTAAGTACAACAGGACCCAGCATAGGGTCCAGGGGACCAGGTAAGAGGATAAGCGCCCCAGATTCCTGTTCTTCTTCTCCACCCACGGGACCAGCATTCGGACAAGGAATAGAAGAACCACCAGATTATTGGACTTGCTAGCACCCACCAAAAGGGAACTCTGGTCCCCAGACCAGTAAGGGGCTCTTTCTGCACCCACTAGAAGAAGAGATGGGAAAAAGACAATACAAAAACACAGTCAGCAACAGAAAAACAAATATGACACCGCCAGATTCTGGAGACTCCACACCAGCAAGACCCCAACATTCCAATGCGGACGAAGCAGAAGAGAACGACCTTAAAAGCACTTTCATGAAAATGATAGAGGCCCTAAAAGAGGATATTGGAAAATCCCTCAAAGAAACGGAAGAAAAAACAAACCAAAAAATGCAAGAATTGGAAGAAAAAACAAACCAAAAAAGGCAGAAAATGGAAGAAGAAATGAAGCAAAAAATGCAAGAAATGGAAGAAAAAACAAAGCAAAAAATGCAAGAATTGGAAGAAGAATCATACCAAAAAAGGCAGGAAATGGAAGAAGAAACAAAGCAAAAAATGCAAGAAATGGTAGAAAAAACAAAGCAAAAAATGGAAGAAGAAACAAACCAAAAAAGGCAGGAAATGGAAGAAGAAACAAAGCACAAAATGCGAGAAATGGAACAAAAAACAAACCAAAAAATGCAAGAAATGGAAGAAAGAACAAACCAAAAAATTCATAAAAGGCAACAAACGGACGAACAGATAAACAGAAAATTGCAAGAAGCAATGCAAACACTGCAAGGGTTGAAAACTGAAATAGAGTCATTAAAAAAAACACAATCTGAAGAAAGGCAGAAAATAGAAAAGCTGGACAAACAGACAGGCACTACCAATACAAGCATTACCAACAGAATAGAAGAGATGGAAGAGAGAATCTCAAGTGTTGAAGATACGCTAGGAGAAATGGATTTATCAACCAAAGAAAACCTTAAATCCAACAAATCCTTAACACAAAACATCCAGGAAATATGGGACACCATGAAAAGACCAAACCTAAGAATAATAGGTATAGAAGAAGGAGAAGAAATCCAGCTCAAAGGGGCAGAAGGCATATTCAACAAAATCATAGAAGAAAACTTTCCCAACCTTAAGAAAGCCATGCCAATGAAGGTACAAGAAGCCTACAGAACACCAAATAGAGTGGACCACAAAAAAATCCCCTCGCCACATAATAATCAAGACCCCAAACATACAGAATAAAGAAAGAATATTAAGAGCAGCTAAGGAAAAAGGTCAAGTAACATATAAAGGCAGACCTATCAGAATTACACCTGATTTCTCCATGGAAACGCTGAAAGCCAGAAGGTCCTGGATAGATATTCTACCTACACTAAGAGACCACGGATGCCAGCCCAGACTACTATACCCGGCAAAGCTCTCAATCACTATAGAGGGAGAAAACAATATATTCCATGACAAAACTAGATTCAAGCAATATGTGTCCACTAACCCAGCCCTACAGAAAATTTTGGAAGGAAAACTCCAACCCAAGGAAGCTAACTACAACCAGAAAAACATAAGCATTAGAGAATCTCTCTCTACCAACAGCCAAAAGAACAAAGGGGTGAAATTCCACACATAATTCCACCAACAACAACCATCGCAAATCGAAGAAGGATGAGCAATCATTGGTCATTAATATCCCTCAATATTAATGGCCTTAACTCACCCATAAAAAGACACAGACTAGCAGATTGGATTCGAAGACAGAACCCTTCCTTCTGCTGCATACAGGAAACACACCTCACCCTTAAAGACAGACATTACCTGAGAATTAAAGGTTGGGAAAAAATTTTTCAATCGAATGGACCCAAGAAACAAGCCGGGGTAGCAATCCTAATATCTAACAAACTAGACTTTAAAATAAAATCAATCAAAAGAGATGAAGGAGGTCATTACATACTTATCACAGGTGAAACCCACCAAGAGGAAGTGTCTATTCTGAACATCTATGCCCCAAATACAAAGGCATCCACATTCGTTAAAAAAACATTATTAGAACTTAAATCTCATCTAAAGCCCCACACAGTTATAATGGGAGATTTCAACACACCACTCTCACCACTAGACAGGAATACCAAACAGAAACTCAACAAAGAAGCAAAAGGGCTAATAGAAGTAATGACCCAACTGGGATTAACAGATATCTATAGAACATTTCATCCACATAAAAAAGAATATACCTTCTTCTCACCACCACATGGAACCTTCTCAAAAATCGACCACATACTTGGCAACATATCAAACCTCAGCAGCTACAAAAAAATTGGAATAACTCCATGCATCTTATCAGACCACCATGCTTTAAAATTAGAATTCAACAACAACACAAATTGCAGAAAACCTACAAACTCATGGAAATTGAATAATGCTCAACTGCACCATCCCTGGGTCAAAGAGGAAATAAAAAAAGAAATTAAAGACTTCCTCGAATTCAATGAGAATGAAGACACAACATACCCAAACCTATGGGACACTTTGAAAGCAGTGCTACGGGGAAGTTCATAGCGCTAAATGCTCACATGAAGAAACAGGAGAACAGTTATACCAGAGAATTAACATCACAGCTGAAAGCTCTAGAACACAAAGAAGCACACTCCCCAGGAGGAGTAGACGCCAGGAAATAATCAAATTGAGGGCTGAAATCAATAAAGTAGAAACCAGGAAAACAATACAAAGAATCAATGCAACGAAGAGTTGGTTCTTTGAGAAAATCAACAAGATAGACAAACCTTTGTCCAAACTTACCAAACAGCAGAGAGTGAACACGCAAATTAACAAAATTAGAAATGAAAAGGGGGACATAACAACAGACTCTGAGGAAATCCAGAGAATCGTTAGGTCATACTTTGAAAACCTGTACTCCACAAAATTCGAAAATTTAAAGGAAATGGATGACTTCCTGGACAGCTATCAATTGCCAAAACTAAATCAAGAACAGATAAGCAATTTAAATAGACCTATAACCCCTATGGAAATAGAAGCTGTCATCAAAAGTCTCCCAACCAAAAAAAGCCCAAGTCCAGATGGCCTCACTGCAGAATTCTACCAGAAATTCAAAGGACAGCTTATACCAATTCTTCTCAAAGTGTTCCACACAATAGAAGCAGAAGGGTCTTTGCCAAACTCTTTCTATGAGGCTTCAATAACCTTGATCCCCAAGCCACACAAAGATACAACTAAGAAAGAGAACTTCAGACCAATATCCCTCATGAACATTGATGCAAAAATACTCAATAAAATACTGGCAAATCGGATCCAAGAACACATCAAAACAATCATTCACCACGATCAAGTAGGTTTCATCCCAGGGATGCAGGGATGGTTCAACATACGAAAATCCATCAACGTAATCCACCATATAAACAAGCTGAAAAACAAAAATCACATGATCATCTCACTAGATGCTGAAAAAGCCTTTGACAAAATCCAACACCCCTTCATGATAAAGGTCTTGGAGAGATCTGGGATAACAGGGACATACTTAAACATAATAAAAGCTATATACAGTAAACCAACAGCCAACATCAAACTAAATGGACAGAAACTCAACGCAATTCCTCTAAAATCAGGAACAAAACAAGGCTGTCCACTCTCTCCATACCTTTTCAACATGGTACTTGAAGTTCTAGCTATTGCCATACGACAACAAAGGGGGACCAAGGGGATACAAATTGGGAAGGAAGAGGTCAAACTTTCACTGTTTGCAGACGATATGATAGTTTACATCAATGACCCAAAGAACTCTACCAGGGAACTCTTACAGCTGATTAACACCTTCAGCAAAGTGGCAGGCTACAAGATCAACTCAAGAAAATCAGTAGCCCTACTATATACAGATGATAAAAGGGCTGAAAGAGAAATCAGAGAAACATCACCCTTTACAATTGCCACAAACAACATAAAATACCTTGAGGTAACGCTAACCAAACAAGTGAAAGACCTGTATCGTAAGAACTTTGAATCTTTAAAGAAAGAAATTAAAGAAGCCCTCAGAAAATGGAAAGATCTCCCATGCTCTTGGATAGGTAGGATCAATGTAGTAAAAATGGCAATCCTGCCAAAAGCAATCTAAATCTACAGATTCAATGCAATCCCCATTAAAATCCCAGCACAGTTCTTCACAGACCTTGAAAGACAATAATCAATTTTGTATGGAAAAACAAAAGACCCAGGATAGCCAAAACAACCCTGTTCAACAAGGCAACGTCCGGAGGCCTCAAGCTCTATTATAGAGCTATAGTCCTGAAAACAGCTTGGTATTGGCACAAAAATAGACAGGTAGACCAATGGAATCGAATTGAAAACCCGGGTATTAACCCACACACGTACGAACATCTGATCTTTGACAAAGAAGCTAAAAATATACAATGGAATAAAGAAAGCATCTTCAACAAATGGTGCTGGCATAATTGGAGACTGGCATGTAGAAGAATGCGGATCGATCCATGTTTATCGCCATGCACAAAACTTAAGTCCAAATGGATCAAAGACCTCAACATAAATCCAGCCACACTGAACCTCTTAGAAGAGAAAGTGGGTGGTACCCTTGAACGAATTGGTACAGGAGACAGCTTCCTGAACATAACACCAGTAGCACAGACTGTGAGATCAACAATTAATAAATGGGACCTACTGAAACTGAGAAGCTTCTGTAAGGCAAAGGACACAGTCAGCAAGACAAAAAGGCAGCCCACAGAATGGGAAAAAATATTCACTAATCCCACATCTGACAGAGGGTTGATCTCTAAAATTTACAAAGAACTCAAGAAGCAAGTCTCCAAAACACCAAAGGACCCTATTAAAAAGTGGGCTGCAGAACTAAATAGAGAGTTTTCAATAGAGGAGTCTAAAATGGCTGAGAGGCACTTGAGAAAGTGCTCAACATCCTTAGCCATCCGGGAAATGCAAATCAAAACAACTCTCAGATACCATCTCACCCCTGTCAGAATGGCTAAAATCAAAAACACCAATGACAATTTATGCTGGAGAGGATGTGGTGAAAGGGGGACACTCCTCCATTGCTGGTGGGAGTGCCAACTGGTTCAGCCACTTTGGAAATCAGTGTGGAGATTCCTCAGAAAAATGGGAATAAACCTACCACAAGACCCAGCAACTCCACTCTTAGGCATATATCCAAAAGATGCCCATTCATACAACAAAGATGTCTGTTCCACTATGTTCATAGCAGCTTTATTTGTAATTGCCAGAACATGGAAGCAACCTAGATGTCCCTCACCTGAAGAGTGGATAGAGAAAATGTGGTACATCTACACAATGGAGTACTATTCAGCAGAAAAAAAATAATGGAATCATGAGATTCGCAGGCAAATGGATGACACTAGAAGAAACCATCCTGAGTGAGGTAACCCAGTCACAAAAAGAGAAACATGGCATGTACTCTCTCATATATGGATTTTAGACATAGATCTGGGGAGTGCCAGCCTACAATCCTATGGCCAGAGAGTCTGGGAAACAAACTTTACTTAGTGGCTGATCGAAGAAGAGGCAGACTCCCTTGGTTAAGTACTGAGCTGAACTCAAGAAAGCCAGTAACAGAGAGGGAGGACTGATGATCAAAGGGATTAAGACAGGGCTGGTTTAACCCCCAGAAACAGCTGACCAGACAAAGGTTAACTCTTGAATCCCAGGCATTAGCCTGGGAAGCCAGCATGAGACTGATCAAGACCCCCTGAATCTGGGTGTCAGTGAAGAGGCCTAGGGAATCTATTGAGCCTTGGGCAGCAGATCAGTACCCATCCCAAGTATACACACGGACTTTGGACTCCAATAGAACAATGTGAGGTGCACTCTCACCCTGAACTCTTGGGAAAGGGTCTAGGCCCTGCCCTATATGAAATGACACACTATGGACACCCCCATGGAGGGCCTCACCCTCCCTGGAGAAATGAGAGGATAACGGGGGGGGAGGGCACGGGAGGAGGGGAGGGAAAGGGAGAGCGACCTGGAACTGACTTGTGAAGCAACCTTGATTCTTATCTAAATTTAAACTGGAAAATAAAATTAAAAAAAAAACATTTTTCTGTATCAATAAGCTGTGTATGAAAATGTTAACTTAAAAAGGTATGCTAAAATGGCCGTTGTACATATAAAAAATTAAACATTACATTTTTCAAATTCTGAAATATACAAAACATGCACAAATCAAACTAGCAAGCAATCTTTAGAAATAAGTGTTGTGACTACAGGCATAGAAAAAGCCCTAGAACCTGGCAGTGGTGGTGTGTACCTTTAATCCTAGCACTGGGGAGGCAGAGGTGGGCAGATCTCTGTGAGTGACTTTGAGTCCAGCCTGGTCTATGAAGTTAAGTTCCAGGACAGCCAGGGCTACACAGAGAAACCCTACCTAAAAAGAAGGGGAGAGGAAGGGACGGAAGGGGAGGGGAGGGGAGGGGAGGGGAAAGAGAGAGAGACAGAGAGACAGAGACAAGAGACATAGACACTTTGGAAATTGAACAAGGGACCCTGTACAACATTACCACCATTGCAAGGTCTCCCGAGGATAAACCTATCCTCCTAGCCATCCTCCCAGGGCCTGAACAAGTGACTCAGGCATCCAAAATGAGGTGGCCTCAGAGCACTAGAAAATATCTACATATTGCTTCAGGGTTGGATACTAATATGTAAGCATTCTGCAATTTGCAAATGACAGAAATTAAAGGGTTAATTTAACAATACTTAGATCATGGTTCAATTTCTAACATGCTCCTCGGGCCCACCTACACAGAATGTCTCCAGGCTAGTCTTACCTGATGAAGGCTTCTTGTTGAAAAGCTTAAGCTGGCTGGAAGAGCCCACTTCAAAGTTTGGCTTCTTGCCAGTGATACGAACTGAGAGCAGGCTGTCACTGTGGTAGCCCAGGTGTTCCTGGACAGATTGCACCTCCTCGGAGCTTAAGGACTCCCGCTGCAACTGCAATTGAAGATACCTAACGCATCAGTCACACTTCTCCGTCTCTGTTTCCCCATACCAGCCTTGTGGCCAGCCTGGACAACAGCCAACAGTGTATCTGTCTCAAAAAGGAATTTAAGGCCTTGAATCACATTTAAAAACCAAAAAAATCAAACCGGGCTTGCTGGTGCAGGTCTTAAATCCCAGCACTCAGGAGGCAGAGGTAGGTGGATCTCTGTGAGCTCAAGGCCAGTCTGGTCTACAGAGCGAGTTCCAGGACAGCCTCCAAAACAATACAGAGAAACCCTGTCTTGAAAAACAAAAATAAACAAACAAACAAACAAAAAAACAGAAATATAACAATAACAGTTATCATGGAATAATACCTCTCCAAAACCAAGGAAATGCTAATATTTTAAAATTTTGTTTCTGGAGAAGAATATGGAACTATAAATTCCGCTGCTTAATTGAATATCTCTACTCATAAATGCACAGCCCCTGTCCTTAGTCTAGACTCCCACCAAAAGGTCTAAGGGACAGTATTCCATCTAGGCCCAAGAGCTGTGTACACTGAGACAGACAGAGGCAGAAACCTCCTGTGTCCTGCAGCACAGCCATCACTGTTAAACGGGTGCAGGAAGACCAACACCAGTCACTCAGTCTTCAGAAGGGATCTATCTGCTCCCAGGGTTTTCTTCTTTATGGCATCTTCTATCTCTTGGGCAGCAAGTTTCCAATTGCTTCCTAATTCTGTAGAGCACCTCTAACCTCACTTGCCCCCAGCTACACGGACACACTCTCTGGGTTTGAGTCATCCAAGGTTTACAAACCTAACAAGGAAGACTACCTCTACACACCTACCTCTTTTACTTCCACAAGGCCAGAAAGAGTCAGGGCCGAACACAGTTTAGAGGCCGTCTTCATTTTGTCATTGTCCACTGTCAAGGAAAACTCCAATTAATGGCTTCATATGGCAAAGTTGGGGAAAAGTATAAAGGCTCTATCCTATGTGAGTCAGCAGGCTCTCAAACAGTAAAAACTTATAGTTTAGTGACAGCATCTTAACTTGAAAAATCTTTTGGTTGTTCCAGGTATTCTTTCTTAGGCTAGTACAGGTCATAATTACAATATTATGTATTATTCTGCGTCTTGGAACCCCAGAGAATGTTGGATAATTAACAAAGGTAAAAACTATGAAGTACACAGAAACCTGTTTGTCTCTGTAGTGCTCTATCATAGACACCATTCAGTAACCCAAGGTTTAAATTTCCCGAAAGGGGCTGGAGGGCGGATCTCTGTGAGTTTGAGGCCGGCCTGATCTATAGAGCGAGTTCCAGGGCAGGCTCCAAAGCCACAGAAAAACCCTGTCTTGAGAAACTGGAAAAAGAAAAAAAAAAAAAGGCTGGAGAGATAGCTCAGTGGTTCCAAGCACATACTGTTCTTGCAGAGGATGGGAATTTGGTTTCCAGACCCACACTGCAAGGCTCACAACAACCTTAACTCTAGCTCCAACACTTCTGGTCTCCTGTACTCATGTTCATATGCAGACAGAAGGACTGACAAGAGTTCAAGGCCAACCTGGACTGCAAAGTGAATTTCACTTAGCCACAGATCTTGGGGTAATATCTATCCCTGAAAAGGTACTACTACAGGAATGCTGATCTCCAAATGGTACTTCTGGCTCAGGAGAGACAGCATGTATGTGCAAAGACTCAGCTATGTAAAATGTTCATCTTCTGAGTAAAGATATCCTTACTTACCTACAGCTGTCTCCACTGGTTCTTTCAGAAAAAGGCATCCCCCTGGCCGGAGGATTCTGGCCATCTCAGCCAGAACCTCAGCACTGTGCAGAGAGGTGCTTCCTGGGACTACACCCGACAGAATAACATCGAAGCTGGATTCTTTATGGGCAGCTGAAAGGAATAATTAACAGTTGTCTACCCAGGGATGGATCCCCCAACCCTCCCACAGAGGATACAGTATCACCCCAGGGGATGAACCTACACAGCAAATAAGAAGCCCCGGATACTAGCAAAAGGGTGGGTGTTAAGACTCTGCTCTGAGTCGGGCGTTGGTGGCGCACGCCTTTAATCCCAGCACTCGGGAGGCAGAGGCAGGCGGATCTCTGTGAGTTCGAGGCCAGCCTGGTCTACAAAGTGAGTTCCAGGACAGCCTCCAAAGCTACAGAGAAACCCTGTCTCGAAAAACCAAAAAGAAAAAAGAAAAAAAAAGACTCTGCTCTGTTCCGTATCTCACTAACTCCTCGACCTTAATAAGACCAGGGACGAAGCAAAAAAGGACCCTTTTAGAATAAGGAACAGCCACCAAAGAAAAGAACATGCAGAAATTACCAACAACATGCCCAAGTGTGTGAAAAAACATGTGGTGACCCCAAACAAAACTCAAGTATCAGGAACTACAGACAAAGAGCACCCCGTGGAAAACTCTTCTCACCCTGAGAATAAAATGGTAGGCAGGCACTTACACTGCAACAGCTGGCTGATGTTTTCCGTGAATACTTGGCCCTCGCTGCCAGTTAACCCTTGAAGACTATCTACCAGTTTTTTTAGGGCCTCCTCAGGAGATGACTTGTCCCAGAACACTGCCACAAGCTGGCCAGGAGAGATCCCAAACTCTGCCATTTCTGCAGTGCTGCCGGTCCTAAAAGCTACTGACAAAAGAAAAGAAGACAGCAGTGGAATTTAATCCATGGGTTACCATCAAGTATGATTAGAATCATGACCTACTTCCAACAACCTCCCACTAAGGAAGCGTAACAGCACGGCTGGACCCTAAGAGTCTGACCAACAAACCTACAGCCTCAAGGCTTCATAACCCCAACACTCCCTGACATGACAGGGAGACAAGACAGGTATGGCAAAGTCAAGAAGAGGGATTAGAATCAAGTAAAAAGGCTAGAGAGTTTAGGCTGACTATAAAACAAACAGGGCATTCATCAGGCAGAAGTGATTCACATAGAAGGGCAATCAGCTATCCTAACTATAGTTACAGCTTTAAAAAAGATACCTAAAATTTGCAAGTCATTTTTAATTACTTATAAAAATTCAGTTGCACTGAATCTGCAGTGGCCAATGCTGTTTTCAACATTTAACATTAGCCAGCGTCTTTGAAGCACCTTATGCATACTTACCTCAATATTGGGTTATTCCCAATGTACAGTTAAGGATCTGGGTCAGCCCACATTATACACAGCAATATTGTGTGGGTAAAACAAAAGCTGGGACAAGAATCCAAACCTGTGTAACTATGAAAACTTCCCACCTCGGGTTAGTTTTCTCTTCCACTTGATATGCAGGACTGTATACAAGATGCTTACTCTGAAGGAGGCCAAGGGATACCTCTGCTCAGCTCCTCCTTCCTTAAACATTAATGACACCAAGTTTCTAGCTTCAAATACGTGAGGCAAAGAAGCAGGGGTAGGAGATGTATGCCAACCACTCCTGACTTCCGCAGAGACGGCCAACTCTGTGACAGTGACATCACCACACTCCCAGGCTGAATGTAAGTCACATGCATTACACTTTCCTTCTATAAGAACGTTCACTTCAGCCAGGCCTTGGTGGTGCACACCTTTAACTCCAGCACTCGGGAGGCAGAGGCAGGCGGATCTTTGTGAGTTAGAGACCAGCCTGGTCTACAGAGTAACACTGAGAAACCCAGAGAAAAACAAACAAGCAAACAAAACCCAAACATTCACATCAGGGTCCAGAAGACCCATCAGCCGGTAAGGGCACTTGTTGCCAAGCTTGGTGATCTGAGTTCAATCTTCATGTACCCACACGACATGGGGCAAGAGAACTCACTTCTACAGGCTGTCCTATGACCTCACATGTGCAGCTGTGGCACAGGTGGGCACACACACCAATAAATAAAACGTAACTTACTTCATTTTTCTGTTACTTTTTGGGGGGAGGAGTCAGGGTCTCATATAGCCCAGGTTGGCTTTGAACTTCTGATCCTGCCTCCTCAAGTACCAGGATTACAGGTATGCAACATCATGCTTGCCTCGAAACTGTTCACCTCGAATACCTTTCCTTTGTGTCTAAACACTATGACCTTTAGCCAGAGTCACCCTTGACTACAGTGCTTTGTCATGTTAGAAATAAGTTATCAATGGTTTTAATTTCTACAGCAAAACCGAAGTCCTTCACTAGCCAGCTTCAAAGTCTGACTTCCATTCCAAAGGGACTCTCTCCTTACTGTGTTTTCTCTCAACCACATCTTTTTGCCTAGCTTCTCAGTGAGCACCAGCTATCCTGACTCAGCAAAAAGCCCGAGAGGCTTCCACGTGGTCATCGGGCAGGCAGGAGTCTTTGGCTGTTTGGTTTCGGATTTTAAATCCCTAAAAAGTACACCATCAAGAATGAAAACTTCCAAGCTTTTAATTGCCACATGATTTTGAGAAAGAATCCTTGTAAATCCTTCAGTTGGGTAACTTGGGATCAATCTCACCTTTAAGAGTCTGCCAGGGGAAGACACGTGTGGACAGAGTACTTACTGCTGGTAGTAAGTTATTAAAATGATTAGCCTGTAGATCTATCCACTACTTTGCTTCATCAGGTTCAGGACTATGACAAGTCAGCATTTCTGAGTCTCCTTGTCAACAAACAAGATCAGTAAATGACCTCATATTTTTAAGACTGACAAACCCTGGAACTGTAAGTTATGTAAAGCACTCAGCAGATGCTGGTACACAGAACTCAATGCAATAATGTTTCCAACCATCTTGGCAAAACCTCTCTCCTCCTTACAGATGCCCTGGAACCTCACAGGAGAGTCTCACCTTTGACACCCAGTACCCGTAGGACTGTGTCAGCAAATCAGAGTGTAAACAAGATGGACCTCATAAATAGATTAAACTGTAAATACCCTCCTCCCCCAACACACACACACACACACACACACACACACACACACACACACACACACACAGAAACCCTAAAGCTTTCAGTCAGCATTTCCTGAACAGACAATGTTCTTCTCAGCTCTAAGAGCCAAAATGTAACAATTTTCATCACTTTCATCAGCTTTTTTGTTACCGTGACAAATCTGTTTAAAAACAACAAAACCAAAACTATTAAAAAATCCAGTGCCTGAGCCAGCATACTCAGGAGCTGTGACTCAGGGCTGTTTCACAACTTCAAAGAGGTGAAGTCAATGTCACATAATTGACCTTGTCGGTTAGATGCTTCTCCAACTGACAACATCCACAAGGCTTTTCAAAAACGTCACTAGCAGCCATGTGTGGCGTTTGCTTTTAAAACCGCCATCTCCAAGACAAAGGCAGGCGGATCTGGTCTACACACCAAGTTCCAAGGCTATTTAGTGAGACTCTTATTTCCAAAAAAAAAAAAAAAAGTTACTATCAGGCAGTAGGAGCAAAAGCAAACATCTGCGAACAACTTCTGGGGATGGGCTTACTTATCTTTAAACACCTAACAAGCAGATGCTTGTGGTGCCATCTAAGGTGGCTGAGGGGCTGGAGATGGCTGGATGCATTGTCGCAGGCGTCGCTGATTAGGGATGGGGACAGACAGTGCAGTGGTGTGTGCTCACCTAGCGTGTATAAGGCCCTGGATTCAGACTCCACAAATAAACACCAGTTTAAGAGCCGAGAATGGTGGAGCTTGCTTGTAAACCTGGCTCTCCCTAGGATACTGGAGAAGGATCATGAGAACAGCTTGGGCCCCTCAGTCAAACTCTTGTCTCAAAAACCATTATCAGGGTTCTGGGGATGGGGGTAGAGCCCATGCTTTGCAAGCACAAGGCCTTGAGTTTGAGCCCCTAACCCACACGGAAAAACAGAATGTGTGGGCCATCGAGGTGATTCAATGGGTAAGGGTGCTTACTACACAAGACTGACACACCTGAGTTCAATTCTCAGAACCCCAAGTAGAAGTCAAGAATCAACTCCTGAAAGCTGTCCCCCGACGTCCACTCTGCACATGCCATCCCCTCACAAAAAATACAAAACAGAATTTTTTTAAAAGCTTATGCGACCTGGTATGTAATCCTGCACTGAGGAGCTGGAGGAGGACAGGCTGACCAGTGAGTGAGTCCAGCCTTAGCTGGTGAGCTTCAGGCCGTCGGAGACCCTGTCACAAGGGAGGTGGACACAGTCTGATGAAAAACAAAGTCGCCCCCTGGCATCCACACACATGCACAGGCACCTACACATACATGCTGCCTCCATGACCTAAACAACCTGTAAATACACAGTTTACTTCTTCCCTGGTGGAGCAGCGAGGCGCTCCGCTCCACTCTGAAGACCGCAGCTTGGACTCAGGCAAGCCAGGCGCTAAGAAGCAAGCCTCTTCCAAACTTACAAACGGTTTGTTAATGCTAGACACCTGAACCACACTCTGGCACGGGGTCAACTCTCAGGACAAAAGCCTGGGTTCGTTTTATAAGCAAGCATCCTAGGTAAGTCGGAAATAAGTGCCAGGCTCAAATGGACAACCTGTGACTGACTCCAGGATCTCCCCAGCTTTCGTGCTTTCCGCCAGGTGCCCTGAAGGAGACCCAAGGTCACCACAGATGGCTAAGAGTAAACTGGCGATCCCGATGCCCGCTCCGGGTTTCACGCGGAAAGAGGCGGCAGACGAGCCCCGGCATCAGGAATGCCGCCGCTCGCAGGGCCCTGGCCGCCGTGGTCCCTCACACCGGCTTCCCCAGGCAAGCCAATGACGGCGCCGGGAGCCGGAACGGGAGGAGGACGGAGGACGAGAGTGGGCGCGAGGAGGGCCGTTAGGCCCGGTCGGGGGCTCGAGACTCCCCGAAGGCGCTCACCTCCCTTCTAGCCTGAATACCCGCTCCGCAAACGCCGGCTTCTCGTCTCCGGTCTCTCGCGATAAGAGGCAGCACAGCACTTAGTTCTAGAAGGCACACGCGGCCCCAGTGACGGCATGACGCTGCCTAGCGGCGCGTCGCCGCCGTCAGCGTGCGTGCCCACTTCCAAGATGGCGGCGACGGCAGCAGTGTCTGGCGTCCTCGGCCGGGTGGGCTGGAGGCTCCTGCAGTTGCGGTGCCTGCCCGGTGAGGTGACGGCCGAGGCCGGGCGCGGGGGAGGGCGGGGGAAGGAGGAACGGCGCGGGCCCGGGCTTGGCGTAGGGCGAGAAAGACAGTGGTTGGGGATAGCGAGGTGCAGATGAAGGGCATCGGCGTGGAGCCCGCTGAAGTCGCGAGCTGGAAAAAAAAAAGATCGCTTGGTGGGATTCGACTTCAAGACTAGAGCTGTGAGGGAAAAAAGCAGCGGGGCAGGCCTGTCACCCCGGTTCCCCAGAGGCAGTGGAGCTTCAGAGAGGGCTCGGTGTGCCCAAGGTCACAGAGCTCGTCCGTTGCAGAAGCGGTCTCAGCTCCGTTGCCATGGGCACTGGGCCAGCCTTGCTGGAGGGACCGAGGGAGCCGCCAGAGAGCGTCCTGCCGGTGTTTCCCCGGAGTCATTGCCACTCCGCGTCACTAAGTTAGTGACATTCTCTTACCGTCATTGCTGCCATATGCTCCGTATTTTTATTTCCACATTAATAGAGACATTTACTTAAAAAAAAACTTTGTACATGCCATTAAGTGGAAAAGCAAAAATCACTGTCCATAAATAGAATATCTCTGCATGGACACTTTAACATAAATATGCAACTAAAATTTCTGACCTGCAGTGATTTCAGAGCCACACTTTGGGGACCTCCCTCGCTTCAAATTTTTGGATACTTGCTCCATTTTCAGTGCATATACCAAAATGCTGATGTTTTTAGGCATGGTGTTCTGTGTTTCCTTTTTGTCCATTTTACCTAAGGTTTCAGACAAGATATGTGTATTAAAAATGATACCAGAGCCCAACAAATCCACTGATAGGCATTTAATCAAGAAATCGTGTCCATAAAAAGTTGAGGTGTATTCACAGCTACTTTATAATGGCTGGACCCTGAGAGGCCAAACGTCCATCTTTTGCAGTACTATGCAAGCACTCTGCAGTAGGCTCCCCTTTCTAAAACTTTTGAGACAGTCTAACTCTGTGTCCCTGGCCCACCTGGAACTTGCTATGACTGACCTTGAATTCAGAGAGACTGGCCTGTCCCTGCCTCCTGAGTGCTTAAAAGAGTGTGCCAACCTGCCTTTTAGTAAAAATAATGTTTATCTATTTAGATGAGAGCTCTGTCTTCATGTATTCCAGCAGGCCGGAAGAGGGCATCAGATCCCATTATAGACTGTTGGGAACCACCTAGTGATTGCTGGGAATTGAACTCAGGATCATGCTCCTGGACTTGTCTTACTTTCTTTTCAGCGCCTCCTTTTTTCTTAACCCTTGTGCTTAAGCCTACATTAAAATCTCTTAGTTAAACCCTGTTTTAAGCTGGGTGGTGGTAGCACAGGTCTTTTAATCCCAATACTCTCAGGAGGCAGAGGCAGGTGGATCTCTATGAGTTCCAGGACAGCCAGGGCTACACAGAGAACCACCCCCCAAACACACACACACACACACACACACACACACACACACACACACACACACACACACACACCAAAAAAACCTGTTTCTAATACACATACACACAAAATATCAAAAGATCACCTTATATTATTTTGAGACAGTCTTCCTATGTAGCTCAGGCTGAGACAGGACTACACAAATTCAAAAGAGAAAAAAGTAATAAAAAAGAAAAGCATGGGGTTGGAGAGATGGCCCATGGGTTAAGAATACTGGCTGTTCGTCCAGAGGACCAAGGTTCAGTTCCTACCAGTCCCATGGATCCAGAGTTTCTTCTGGCCACCATGGACACAAGGCATTCACATGGTGCATATATATACGTGCGGGCAAAAGACTCACACACATGAAAATAAATAAACAATATTTTTTTAAGTTTTTACAAGACAGGGTTTCTCTGTATTGTTTTGGAGGCTGTCGGTCCAGCCCAGCCTCAAACTCACAGAGATCTGCCTGCCTCTGCCTCCCGAGTGCTGGGATTAAAGTCGTGCACCACCTCCGCCCAGCTAAACAATAAATTTTTGAAAAAAATATACTAAGCAGGTCTGGAGAAATGACTCATCAGTTAAGAGCACTTATTTTTGCAGATAGTTGCCCAGGGTTTGGTTCTCACCTTTGTGGCCATCAGGCGGACAAAACACTCATACACCTAAGTAAATCTTTAAAAATTAGCCAAATGGTCCCAGCGAATCTCTGAGTTCGAAGGCAGCATAGTCTACAGAGTGAGTTCCCAGACATCTAGGGCTACACAGAGAAACCTTGTCTTGAAAAACAAACAAAAAAAGTTTTTTTTGGTTTTTTGAGACAGGGTTTCTCTGTATTGTTTTGGAGGCTGTCCTGGAACTCCCTCTGTAGACCAGGCTGGCCTCAAACTCACAGAGATCTGCCTGCCTCTGCCTCCCAAGTGCTGGGATTAAAGGTGTGTGCCACCAAAGCCCGGCAACAAACAAAAAATATATATGAAACAAAAGAAAGGAGAGAAAATTTTAAAACATGTAGATAAAACTAATCTAGGTTATAAGTTTCAGAACAATTATGGGGACTGAAAGGGTGGAAGGGAGTTTTCTGGGGTGATAGTAATGTCTGTCTACATAGGATCCACATTATACAAGGGTATGTGTTTGCATAACTCACAGGATGATATGTTAAGATTTGTATATCTCATCGTACATAAACAGTTCATGAAGGAACAGTAATCAGTGAATGCTAATGATACATAGGCTGAAATGTTGGAGATGAGGGACACTGAGATCTGCAATAAATAATCAGAAATTAAAGTGGACCAAGGTAGAGGGTGATAAATCTGCTGAAGCTAGAGTGGATATACAGGTGTTCACAGTTCCTTCAGCTTGTCTACATGTTTGCAGATTTTATTGATAAAATGTTTTGGGGGGCATAGTGTGAGTTCTTGCACAGGAGGTACTACTGATATTCCCCAAAGTAATGGGGCTGCAAAGGCTAGGGGGATGGCTCAGGGGTTAAGGTGCTTGAGTGTGAGGACCAGAGCTCTGGTCTTCAGAACCCACATAAAATACCGAGTGTGGTGGCACACGCCTTCCCAGCACTCAGCAGGCAGAGAGGCAGATTTCTGGGATTCTGAGGTCTACATAGTGAGCTCCAGGACAGCTAGGACTACATAGTGAGATTGTGTCTCAGAAACAAAGCAAACAAATAAAAAAGAAATGAAAGAAAAGAAGCCCAAAGGTGGAGACTGGGCATCTCTAGTTGAGGCTGGCTAGCAAGACTAGCTGTATCAGTAAGCTCTGGGTCTGATTGAGAGACCCTGCCTCAGTGAGTAAAGTGGAAGAGCAGATTGAGGGTGATTCCCAAAACTGACCTCAAGCCTCCACGTATCTGTGCATGCTCGTCTACCCACATACACGCAAACATGAAAAAGAAGGAAAAGAAGTGCCATGTAAACACTTGGGAGGTGGGCACTGTTGTATGTACATAAGTGTAGCATGTCACTTTCGGAGGGTACCTTAACACTGTAATCAAACAAGTAGAGATTAACACTCTTAATCTGTGGGCTTCTAAAAATCTGTGTATTATGGGGCCAGCAAGATGGTTCAGTGGATAAAGGTGACAGCCTAAGTTCCACTCCCAGAGTGGATGTAGCGGTAAAAAGAGAACCAACTCCACAGAGGAATCCTCTGAGCTCCCAGTGTGTGTCACTGAATGGATATCCATGCACACACAGTAATAATTAAAATAATTATTTAATTGCATATCGAGGGAAATGTTTTATGCAGAGCCATACAGCTGACCAGTGATAGGAACAGGCCAAGAAGACAGCCAGGTCTTCTGTTAACTGGTTTACCTGTCTCTCAAGGTTTCTGTCTCTCAAGATGCCTGTGGGGGACTCAACCCTGGAGTGAGTGGCTGCAGAGGCATCCCTACTGTGCATTTTCTCCTCATGCTCATCTGCATTCTGCATTTCAAAGGGTGTTCCATGGTGGGTGTCCCTGACCAACAGTCTCGGTTCTGTTCCAGTGGCCCGCTGCCAATCACCTCTGATGCCACGTGCCTTCCACACTTCTGTGGGCTTCAGGTCTTCAGAGCAGAAGCAGCAGCCTCCCCAGTCTTTTTCTCAGCAGCATTCTGAGACACAGGGGCCGGAAGCACCCGGCTCAGAGTTTCCTCGTCAGCCCCCCAGGTAAGCGTTAGTGTCCACATCTACCCGCTGCCGGGTGCTTTGCGTGCTTCAGAGGGTGCCTGTGTCCTCATCAGCCCCTCTTGCCTTCAGCCACTTTTCTTCTTTTCCTTTATTCTAGTCCCGAACCTCCCTCCCTTTCCCTTTTTCCCTTTCCCTCTTTCCACCCTTCCCTCTTTTCTTTCTGATAGAGTCTTGTTATTTAGCTCTTGGTGAGCTGGTGGTACTTACTCTGCATCCCCAGACTGACAGCCCAAACTTGGCCTTGAACTCTGGGAATCTTCCAGCCTCACTCTCCAAAGTACTGGGATTCCAGGGATCAACTACTGTGCCTAGCTATGTTCAGTTATTTTTAAGGATAACAAGAGTGCCTTTCCATTTTAGAAAATCCAGACATTGTGGAGAATACTTGAAACCATCCACAGAGATAACTCATTTGACATAAAAATGCCTTTTAGATATTTCTATAAGCATTGATTTAAAGCTGATCTCACTCTGTAGCCAGGCAGACTTTGAACTCAGCATCTTCCTAACTCAGCCTCCCAAGTGCTAGTAATATATAGATGTATAGATGTAATATACATCTATACATCTATATTACTATATTAATGCTTTTCACA